ACGTTTCCCGCGCTGGCCCCGCCCGAGGTCGCGGAGGCCGTGGGCATCGCGGCCTGAGCGGAAATGGTTCCGCGCGGCAGGCCAAGAGCGGCGATTATTCACAATCTTACAAGACCGGTCGCTTCCCGGGTTGATTCGACGTGACTCAGCCCAATGTCAGAGTCAGACTTCTGCTGTCCCCGCAAACAAACTCGGAGGTATCCGACTATGAGCACCGTGGACCACATCGAAGCACTGAAGAACAAGCACTCTGTTCTCGAGCAAGCGATCCATCAGGAAACGACGAGGCCGCATCCCGACGATGATGCGGTTTGCAGCCTCAAGAAGCGCAAGCTCATGATCAAGGACGAGATCGTCCGTCTCAGCGAGCCTGACACGTCGCACTGACGTTCATCGTCATCCCGAAGTTCAGGCGAGGCCCGCCCAGCGGGCCAGCGCCACGGCTCCGACGCCACCGAAAAGGCCGGGGGTGAACCCTCCGACCTTTCGCGTGAGCACGGCGGCGGCCACGGCTCCGACGATGAAGGCGCCGCCCGTCTGTGTGAGCGGCACGATGGCGGCCGACACAAGGACGGCGCCCGGCGCGTGATCGAGCAAGGCCGTCACGAAGCGATGGCGGCCGAGCCAGCGCATCGCAATGAAGCCGCCGCCTTTTGCGGCCATCGCCGCGAGCGCCATCACCAGAATGGCGACGAGATTCTCAGGACTGGCGGACATCGTCGTCCTTCCTGAGATCGCGGAGCGCGCCGAACATGCCGCCGGCCAGCCCGCCGATCACGATGTACCAGTTGCCGCCGATCAGCCATTTGGCGGCAAAGGCCGCGGCGATCGCCACCATCCACGGTGCGATGTCGCGCTTGCCGCGAAAGAGGATGGTCGCGACCACGACGAAGACCGCCACGCCGACGAAATCGAGGCCGAGACGCTTGGCCATCGCGGGGTCCGAAAGGATGCCGCCGGCCGCGAGATGACCGGCGAGGGTCGAGCCCGACCAGATGCAGGCCATGACGAAGCCGCCGCCCAGGAACTTGCCGAGATCGCCGTGGCCGCGCCGGTATTCGGCGATGTTGACGGCCCAATTCTGGTCGACCGTCACATACCAGACCGGCGGCTGAAGCCACCATGGCAGGTGCGGCAAGATGAGGCTGCAGGGCCGCGCCCATCACGAAGTACCGCAGGTTGGCCACGAATACCGACACGGCGAGCGGCCATCAGCGGCAGCGGCTGGGCCCAGATGTCGAGCGCCACCATCTGGCTGGTGCCGGCCATCACGGTGAAGCTCATCAGCGTCGTCTCGAAGGCGCTTAGGCCTTTCTGCGCGGCGGCGACGCCGAAACCTATCCCGAAAGGCAGGGAGGCGAGGCCCGGCAGGATCATGCGCAGGGCGCCGGCCTGGAAACTGCGCCATGTCACGCGCGCGGAAAGGGGCACTGAAGCTGCTACCGATGATGAGGAAACGGCGCGCAATCTAGGGTATGCGCCGCGGCGCAGGAACCGAGTTTACCTCAGCCGCTCATGAGCCGGGTCAGTTCAGCTTGTGCAGGTTGACGGACCAGGTGATAGGCGCACCGTAGGCGTTGCGCGATTGGCCGCTGCACACGGCGACATTGTCGGAGCCGCGATGGCAGACGAGCTGGTCGGAAAACCATCGCGAGCCGTCGTTGCAGGTCGAATCGGCGTCGCGCAACCGCAGCACCGCCCCTTCGAAGCGGGCCTGCGCCCGAGTCCGGCAGGCGGTGCGACCGCGCCGCCATTCGAGCTGGCCCACGCCATTCGCTTCGAAACAGTAGGACGAAACGCCAGGCTGCATCTGCAGCGTCTCGTGACGGAACGGATCGGTGCGCCAGCAGCCCTGCAAGAAGGAGTAGTCGTTCGTGGGAGCGTTCGGCAGGCGCAGGCGGTTGTCGCC